CTTCATCCACTTCGCCGAGTCCACCCATGTGACTCGCCGAGTAGCTTCAGTTCTTAATCCATACAGTGGCTTTTCGAGCCATGCAGGGGCTCCAACTCATAGATCCACCCTTCCCAAGTCTATTCCTCACGTAAAGTTGCAAACTTTACGTGAAACCAAGAAGCTAAAAGCCCAAAACACACTAGGGCTAGGGTTCTAGACAATCATGCTTCACCAACACCCCCAAGACTGATACTTTATGGTTCTCTAGGCCGAAATACACCTAGATCTGAAGTAGCAACTTCAGATCTGGACTTCTAACTCTAAATGGCACTTGCTCTTCGACCCGGATCCCGCTCGGACTCGTCGAGTTCCACCCTGGACTCGACGAGTTGACCCCCTTGACTTAGGGTTTTCCTTTCCTTTCTTGGTCTTTCTGATTATGGGTGCTACAACTGGGGTGGAACACTAGCCCTACTGGAACGTCTAAGAGGTAAGGACTCGTCAACAGGTTCAACATGAGTTTCCTCCTCAGGTTGAGTGCCAGCGTTAGAAGTTCCTTCATCGCTTTGCTTTTGAATCTCTTCAAGATTAATTTTCCTCCCACTGTCATCTTGGCTTATGAGTTCTCTTTCTCGGAAAACCCCTCTCCTCGCAACGAAGACAACATTGTCACTCGGTCTGTAGAAGAGATAGCCAAAGGACTTCTGTGGATAGCCGATGAAATAACACTTCTCACTACGAGGTTCGAGCTTGTCGTGAGTCTCTCGTCTTACGAAAGCCTCGCAACCCCAAACCTTGATATGTGCCAACGAGGGAGCTTTCCCTGTCCACATCTCGTGAGGTGTTTTGACAACCTTTTTGGTGGGAACTAGGTTAAGGATATGGGCGGCAGTCTCCAAGGCATACCCCCGGAAAGCTATTGGTAACGAAGCCCGACTCATCATAGAACGAACCATGTCCAACAAGGCCCGATTACGTCTCTCAGCCACACCATTCAATTGTGGCGTTCTCGGAGGCGTTAATTGCGAAACAATTCCGCATTCCTTTAGATAGTCGTGAAATTCAAGACTTAGGTACTCTCCTCCTCGGTCTGACCGAAGCATCTTGATTTTCCTGCTCAGCTGATTCTCCACTTCATTCTTAAACTCTTTGAACTTTTCAAAGGTTTCTGACTTTTGCTTGATTAAGTAGATATATCCATATCTGCTATAATCATCCGTAAAAGTCACGTAGAAGCGGCAAGCATCCCTTGTGGTGAATCTAAAGGGCCCACACACATCGGTGTGTATGAGATCCAATAGACCCTCACCCCTTTCACAAGTGCCAGTAAAGGGTGACTTGGTCATCGTCCCAAGTAAACAAGATTCACACACGTCATCGTCCCTAAGGTCGAATGACTCCAACACTCCATCCTTTTGGAGTTGGGCTATGCGTTTCTTGCTGACATGGACAAGGCGACAATGCCACAAGCATGCTTTGTCTAGACTATTAGACGAATCAATATTCAACACATCATTTCCTAAATTGTCTACAACCAACACAGATTCATATATTCCATTACAAGGAAATGCACTGAAATAAAAAAACACCATTCAAATAAACATTAATAGAACCATTACTATTATCAAATGAATATCTGAAACCCTGTCTATATAATCCATGAAAAGAAATGATGTTCTTTGCCATATCTGGCGAATTGCAACAGTTATTTAAATCTAATCCTAACCCATTACTCAACACTAAAGAACAAACTCCGACTCTGGTCACAAGCGACGATCTTATGTTTCCCATAATCAAGTTTATTTTCCCATGCTCCTCCTCCCTACTTCTTTTTAGGCCCTGCAGATCAGAACAAATGTGGAAACCACATCCTGTATCAAGAACCCATGAAGTAGCAAGTGATGAGTTGTTAGATTTAATAGAATACATACCTGCGAAGGTGGGCTTTATCTTCCCATCCCTAATGTCCTACAGATATTTAGGGCAGCTTCGTTTCCAGTGGCCCTTCTCGTGGCAATAGAAGCACTCTGCTTCCTTAGGGTCAGAGGAGGGTTTAGCAGAACCTGCTTTGGTCCCACTAGAGGATGAACCATCACGGGACTTTCCCTTTTGGTGGCTCTTTGAAGGAGCCTTCCTCTTCTTTCCCTTCCCTTGGCCAATTGCCAACATGGGAGCAGCCACAGCAGGGGATGATGCAACAGATTTGTCCTTGAGGTTGCTTTCAGCAGTCCTCAGCAGTCCTTGAAGCTTACTCAAGGAGAACACGTCCTTATTCATGTGGTAGGTCATTCTGAACTGGTTGTAGCAGGAAGGCAAGGAGTGGAGGATGATGTCGATAGCCAAATCCTCATCAAGCTTAACATTAAGTTTGAGAAGACGATCAACATACCTTTGCATTTTCTGCAAATGAGAGGTTAAGGATTCTCCACTCCCCATCTTAGCGGTGATCATGTTAGTAATGATCTCATAGCGCTCTTGCCTCGCGCTTTGGTGGTACCTGTCCAGCAAATCTTGATGCATTTCATATGGATACATGTCCTCATAGGACTTTTGGAGTTCGAGGTTCATGGTGGCTAGCATGATGCAATGAACTTTCGTAGCATCACGCTCGTGGGCCTCAAAGGCGGCAAACTCTTCAGGAGTAGCAACATCTGGGACGATCTTTTCAAGCTTCTCATCGGGGACATATTCTTTGTCCTCGTAGCGAGTAATCATACGAATGTATCTCACCCACTCGTTGAAATTCGACCCATCAAATGTCACCTTTTGACATAGGTTCATCAGCGAGAATGACCTAGAAGCGTTGTTGTTGTTGTTGTTAGCAGACATCTGAAAAAGAAAGGAACAAAGTTTGATTAGAAATGAATCCCCAATTAAACACCCAAATGAAAAATTAGGGCTAGGATCCAACAACATTATTCACAACTTAGAAAAGGGATGCCGTAATCTAAATGCAAATAATTTGAAGGTAAGTGAATGACGATTCACTAATTTCCACCATGAAAAATGAAAAGAATTTAAGTTTTAAATGTATTTGAAAAATCCTAGATTCTTTTGAGATTCATTGAACTTTTCAATGACATGTTTAAATCTTGATATGCCCTTCAAGTTTGTGACTGGGATACCGAGGATCACAAACAAGGTGTGAATAACCATGCGAATCAACATGGTGCACTCAATGTCTCTATCACCTAATCAATGTGCCGGTAAACCACACACGCTCCATTGATCTATGACAAACATCGAGCCACCCTTCGCCACCAATGTCAATCCCAAATTAGTGTGCAGATTAACCACACACGCTCCACTAACGTTTGACAAGGGTACAAAGTGTAATTCCATGGATTAGCATCATTTTCACATTTTACCCTAAAGTAACTAAGATTGGGAATTTGTAAAAACATTGTAGTTACTTTGTATCATTCATTATACTTTTAACGAGGAGAGGATTGCCCTATCCTACCCGTTCGGCTAACGACCCTCCACCAATCAAGGAAGCAGTGGGTAAGAGTGAATACCCATTAAACAACCATTTTATAGGCCATAACCTTATACCCCCCTTATAGATCGGCTTCGTGAATGAGGCCTACTAACGGTAAGACTAGCACTTTAAGACTTTAAGTTATACATATATATTAATTAATCTTGTAATAATATAATAGTATAGGGTTGAATTTTAAACTTGTAAAATTCTAAGGGTTTGAAATTTAAATCATTCAAAATTAAACTTTTAATCACAAAATTTAAATTTCAAACTTGAGGACAAGTTTTGAACTTTTCAAAACACAAGGGATCAAATAACAAATAATATAAATTAAACAATTAATTTTATGATTATCAATATTTGACCTAGTCCAATTTTAGTCACAAGATAATTACCAAATAATTCAAATAATCCATATTTATCATATAAAGGAACTATTATTCAAAAGATTTGAAATTATCATTTTTTTGGTAAGGATAATTATTTAAATACAATAAAATTCGGATTTTATTATTAAAAAACGATTTTGGCATTTATCCTATAGCAAAACAGCAAGAAATCCCGAGATATGCTCTGTCTGACTCCCGAACTCGCCGAGTCAAGTCCTGGACTCGCCGAGTTAGGCAGACTCGCCGAGTCCAGATACTGACTCGCCGAGTCGAGTCGGGCAGAGGCCAGAAAAACAATTTTCAGTAAAAACTCTACAATTACATCACATACAACAGAAACCAATCAAGGCTCTGATACCACTGATGGGTTTTAAAGCAAAAGAACATCCTATGTGCTCATGCAAAACCCTAAATCTTGGATCTAGGCTTCTCTATTGAACATGTAATTCATCCAAGACTTGTAACCCTAGATCTAGCATGTATAATTCGAAATTAACACTATAAGAACAGATCTAAGTGATTACCTCTTTCAATTGGCTTGAGATCCTTTGATTCTTCTTGATCTTGAGCTTAGAGTCACAATTGTAACTCCTCTAATGGTTCACAAACACCACACAAGCAAGAAGGCTATTATGAGAGAGGAGGGAGGATGCTAAAATCGGCCTAGGGTTTCTCTTGGAGTCAAGGTTCTGAAAATTGCAACCAAGGGCCTCTATTTATACTGTAGGCTGCTAGGGTTTCAGTCTAAACCCTAATGGACAGCTTAGTCACCAAGCAGCCCATTGAACCTTCTAGATTAGGTCCTTTGGACGAAAATATGATGGATCCCCATCATAATTTCGTTCCCCCTTAGTCCATTAGGTTTCCCAGCCCAAAACTCAACTATCACACATTTGACAGTTTATGCCCCTTTATTCAATTAATCTCTTATAGTCACCAAATTATTTCCTAATTAATTTATGACTAATATTAATCAAATAATATGATTTATCCTTTAATATATTATTCTTATAATATATTAATAAATCATAATATCTTCTCTCTCTCTCTCTCTCCTAAATAACCTTGTCAAGTTGCTTTGGTGAAGGCAACCCAAAAGGACCATGCACAACCGGGTCAAGTACATACCAAATATAGTTATGGGCTTAGACACTAATCCAACATATTCTTTCAGACTTCTTTCTTTTCTTGATAATTACCTTCTTACCCCTACCTCCTTTCTCATCTTTACCATCCATTGCCTTCTTACCACTGCTTCCTTCCCTAACATTACCATTAATGCCCTTATTACCCTTAATTCCTTGTTCATCTGTAACATGCTCATCTTTACCATCCTTTGCCTTCTTACCACTGCTTCCTTCCCCAACATTACCATTAATGCCCTTATTACCCTTACTTCTTTGTTCATCTGTAACATGCTCATCTTTACCATCCTTTGCCTTTTTACCACTGCTTCCTTCCCCAACATTACCATTAATGCCCTTATTACCCTTACTTCTTTGTTCATCTGTAACATGCTCATCTTTACCATCCTTTGCCTTCTTACCACTACTTCCTTCCCCAACATTACCATCTGCTCTCTACTTTTTCTTTACCTTGAGTTTTGTTGGCTTTTCAGCTTGAGAACATGTAACCTTTTTATGTCTTGCTTGCTTGCATACACTACACATAATTTTTTCCCAACCTTTGACACAGTATGTCTAGCACCCCTTTCATTTGCATCCTTTCTTCTATTAACTTTTGTTCTACCTGGCATTTTTTTCTTCAATGGTGGAAAATGTGCAATGAATTCAGTAGGTGGCCACATGTTGCTACCATTCATCCCACGCATTGGATACTTGTAGGTGTTCTTATAAATTGCTCCATAGTACATTGGATCCACATAATTACCAACATCATTGTTAAGGTATGAGATTGTTGCAACTGAATGCACACATCCATACCCATTTAGTTGCCACACTTTACATGAACAAGTCTTCTTATCTATATCCACAACATAAGACTCTGCCAAATTTCTTGTTTCAAACTGGTTTAAACCAGTAGGTAAAACCTGCCAATACCTGTTTCAATTATATATAAATTAGGGTCTAAAGTGTAACTACTCAATTCAAATTCAAAGATAAAGGAAATAACTTTGAGCTCTTTTCAACTGATTCAATAGGATTGTAATGGCTGGACATGGTTTATAATCAGGCCATGAACAACCTTTGATGGTCAGATTGAATTGACTCTCCATAACATACAACCAAATTTCTTCTAACATTGTGATTATTGGTTTTTTTTCTTGCATCTCTAATAACATTGTTAAAGCTTTCAGATAATCCATTTTCAACTGCATCACACATCCTCCCCTCCTGAAAGAAAGCTCTACACCATGATTTTGGGTTCTTTTCCATAAGGTAATCAAATGCTGTAGGATTAAATAGTTGTATCTCCTTCATGGCTGCATTGAATAAAGGTTCAGTTGATGCTTTGCATGCCTTCCAAAACATCCTCTCATAATGCACACCACTGAATCTTTTCCTAAAGTTGGCAACAATATGCCTTGCACACTGTCTGTGTTCAGCAGTAGGCAATACTTCCTTCACAGCCTCCAATAGCCCCTACACAATTTCAATTCATCTGTTAAGAAAAAAGAAATTCATTAACAAAAAATATGAAGTTGTACAGTAAGTGATATACCTTATGTTGATCTGACATCAGGGTTATACCAAAACCATTTTCCATTTCTAGACCATCTTTAAGATTCTCCAAAAACCATTTCCAATTTTCTTTGTTTTCCACACACACAACTGCCCATGCTATTGGGAAAATATGATTGTTAGCATCTCTTCCTACGGCACATATCAACTCTCCACTACATAATCCCTTTAAGAAACAACCATCCAGGTTTATTACTCTTCTACAACTGCCTTTCCAACCTTGTTTCAGCCCCTCAAAACATATATAAAACTTACTAAAATATGTCTTCCCATCAGGCATACTGTTGACATCCATTTTGACAGTTGATCCTAGATTGGATCTTCTTATCTCTTCACCATATAACCAAAGCTTGGCATAATGCTCAACTAGTGTGCCTTCAATTAGTTCAATTGCATATTTCTTTGCTCTTCTACACTGTCCCATACTCACATCAATTCCAAATTTTTGTTTTACTTCTTCCTTTAGTAGCCTAACACTCATTTTTTGTTTTTGTAAGAATTATGTTGTGAAATGGCTACCAATCCATGCATAGTTTACAATAGACCCCATTTTAAAATTTCTTGCACAATTATGCTCATCTATAAGAGACTTAATCTGGAAAGATTTTTCTTCACTCATCCATGAAGCCCACAATCTAAACTTGCATTGCCCTGAACAACATTTAACTAAAAGCCTCCTACTATCATTTTTTTGTAGCACAATTGATACCCTTTAGCAACAGCATAATTAAACAACATATGTTTTAACTGTTTAGGACTTTCAAATCTCATTCCTAACACATGTTTTTGCTTTTTCCAATGAACATTTTCATTAAAAGCTGTTACCTCCTCATGAATTGGGTCGTGTTCATCCATCTGATCATATGGATCCTCATGAGGTGGACTGTCTGGAGTTGGCTGCTCCTTGGGGCAAAGCTTGTTCAAAAATACATCATTCAAGGTCTTGTTCATTGGAATGCAATCTCCATCTTCAATGTTATCGTCCAAATTACCTTGCACTTGCACTTCATCTAGGTCAATGCCTCCTTCTGTCTCAACATGCAAATCTTCTATAACTTCACCTACATCAGAATACTTGTCGTTGGGGGTGCATACTTCAGCCATCTCATCAACAATCCATTGATGAACATTAACACCAATATGATCCATGTACATGGAAATTACACAACCAGAATCATACCCTACTTCGATCAACTCCTGGTAGTCTTTCTCATTTGCTATTATCCTCAATCCTTCAGGGAACTCAATATCGGGCATGCAATAATACACATCAACGCATGTCTCGTTTGTGAATCTTTGAATGAACAATAGAAATTCGTTTTTGTCCATTCCAGCAAAATCCACATCCTCAAACCTTTGCTCCACTCCATCTGAGTAACTGATCACTGGATACCTCGTAAACAAACCAGCAAAATGAAGATCTATCTTCATGTAGACGGCCATAGCAAGAATCCAAGACACTTTTTTTCGATGAACAATAGAAGAAAATAGAAGAAAGGGGTAGATGAAACCGACTAAAGAACATAATTTCTTGCAGAGGAAGGGTTGGTCTCATTTATCGATAGACGTATACGTGGCATGTGATTTGGACATATGAGCTGGCTTTTTTTAATGACATGTCGAAGAGAAGCTGCTGATTGGGATTTGGGTCACCGGGTGACCCCTTCACTTTTTAGAAAATGGCCTTATTAGCCGGTTAAATGTTAATTCATGCCCTTATAAAGCCAAAAAGTTACATAAGGGACCTTTTAAACCAAAACATGTAAGTTCGTGGGGCTACAGTGACATTTTCCCAAAAAATAATTTTTGATTTTAGTAGACGTTTTTTAAGTTCCAACCCTACGTGACATTTCTTTTTCCACAACCATCGCCGCCGCCGCCCCTCCACTGTTGCCACCACCGCCGCCACCACTACCACCTCTGCCACCATAACCTCCGCCACCACTACCACCTCTAACCTCTGCCCCCCACCACCTTTGTCCCTACCTCATCCACCACCTTCACCACCAGCAACACCATCGGTCTTTTTTATGAAGACTTTAAAGAATAACATTTTTATGAAGACTAAAGACATGGAAAAAGACTTTTGGTCCATATTTTATTCCACATATATGTAAAAAAGATTGAAGACATTTTTCCTCTTCAAAAACAAACACTGCGTAAGAAACTAGATAGTGAAAATCTTGTACAATGGTTTTTGATATTTCCTTAAAAGTCTCGTTTGATTTTAGTGAATCAATCATCGGCGAGTGAAGCTAGACACAGTATCCCCGTCGAAGTGGAGTAAGCTCTTTGTGTAGTATCAACCATTATAAATACTTGTGTTCAATCTTCTCCCTTAAACTTTTAGTATTTGCATTTGACATATTGGTGGTTGGAAGAAATATTGTATTATTGAACCACTTCATATTTTTATTGTTATAAAAATCAAATTTTTTATGTTTCTTGTTACAAACTTTGTTTGGAGTTGTTCCATAACTCGTATAATCTTGTGCCCCCGGGTGAACTTCCAACCACCATTCTTGTTCATAACCCGCAACCATCTCAAGATGAAGGCAAAGGGGCAACATTTGAATTCAAATGTGTGATCCCCCATTATGTAGAAATTTGAATATTTTAAGGAGGTCGGAGGCCTAAAGGTAATTTTCGTTAGACCTGGCAATCTGAGACACAAATTTGTGTGTGACACGACACGACACAAATACATAATGAAAAGAGAGATAAATCTTATTTCTCTTCGTGAATTCGTGTCGTGTCAAATTCGTGGCTAACACGTGAAAATGACATGAATACACGAATTGACAGATCTAATTTTCGTTGCTTGTAACAGGTTCATTATACATTTTTAAGTACACATTTTCATGTTTGTTGTTTTATATTTTAACACAAACATTAAGGGACTATATTTGAAGGCTTAAACCAATTTTGAGGCTAGGAATGGCATTATGGTACATATTGAGTAGATGCTTAGAGCGCATGTCGTGTTGAATGTGACAACTCTTTGGAAAAGGGGGTTGATTCGTATACAACAACTTTTCTTCAAACACAACAATTTATGCTTTAAAATGTTGTACTATACAATTCTATAAATCATAAATTGTTATGTATGAAAAAAAAGTGTTGTGTACGAATCACTTCCCTTAGGAATAAGAATTGATATCCAAATGTGGCCTCCACTAGCTATAACAACCTCTTGCCTCAAAAACAACGAAGGGTGTCAAAGAGGCCAACCATAATAAGTGTGGAAAGTATGGAAGAAGTAGCAACGTGAAGGAGGTTGTGTCAACCACATGAATGGCAGGAACACCACCCCATATGGTGTGGTACCCTTCCCATTCGGCGACCATTTCCTGAGTATCTCTCGCCCACTTGTGAATCCGTTTTTAATGTGGACAAGTATATGATGTTGTTAGGTGAATCCAAATAAGTGAATATGTTTTGAAGGGATCTGGATCCGGTAAGCAAATCCATTGAAATGTTATTTAAATTTAGTGTTTTATATATATTTTAATTTTTTAAAACTAATTTATTAAAACTGAGTGCGGGGAGTGTGGGAAAGGAAAGATGATCATTTCCATGTGATTTGGGAAGGAAAAGAGAAAAAACTAATAGAAAAAACTAAGCGTTGGAGCTAACATGAAATGTAAGAAAAGAATGCAAAAGGCAGCCACTAAGAAGAAAGATACAAAAATAATTAGTAAGGTTGGGAAGCAAGTAAAATGCCAATATATAACCTAAAACTTCAAACCTTACACTTGATATTGTCCCCTAAATTATCAAACAAACCTCTCAACTAACCACCAAAAGTGTTTTCAATTTCTCAAGCCTACGAGTCAACATCATAACAACATCCTCCTTCCCTTCATCAACAAGAGCTTTTTTCAATCTATTAAACATTAGTCCAGGAGGCCTTATCCCCATATCCATCATCTCTTCCAAATACTTACAACAACCCTGCAACTTTTTCTCGCGACACAAACTGTCAATCAAAGTAGAAAACATATGCATACCTGGTAAAACTCCTTCATCCTTCATCTCTTCCCAAACACCTATCGCCATATCAACCCTACCTTCATTACAAAACATCCTCACCATGATCTCATAAGTACTCACACTTGGCTCACATCCAAACTCATCTTTCATCCGTTTGAAAACACTATAAGCCTCTTTC